GTGGAGTGTTGAGGTCCTCTCACTTCCTTTCTTTTCACCCAGCTACAGCAGGTTCAAAGCAATATTGTGCCATTTTTTTCTCATGGGTTAATTCTGTGGAACACTTTGTGATATAGTGTACAGTCATTTTATATACAGTTTTTTATCCTTGATCCTTGACTTTACGCATAAGACAGAATGTGCGGCTGTGCCTTCCCCTTCCCTTACTTACTGTTTTTAAAAAATGTACCAAGAGAAACAAACTTCAATGTAAAGACTTTCATTTTTTTTACCTTTAATTCGCTGTCTCTATCTCTTTCTGTTTGTATCACAGACTATTTTTTCCCGTCTGGAGATCCTAGCATTGATGATAGCCACTCTGAATCATGATCTCGACCACAGAGGAGTCAGTAACTCTTATATAGAAAGGTACATTTTGTTTGATATTCAAATTGATATACATGGTTATTTCTAATGTATATGTATTTTGAATAACTTATATATTTCCAGATATTATTTTGGTTATTTATATCAGTTGTTAGTCACTGCTTTCTTATATTCAGTATAATCTCTCTCTCTCTCTCTCTCTCTCTCTCTCTCTCTCTCTCTCTCAGGAGTCAACAGCCTTTAGCTCAGCTATATGGACACTCTTCTCTTGAGAACCACCACTACAATCTGTGCCTCTTCATCCTAAACAACACTGTAAGACCTCAACCATTCATCTTTTCCTTCATTCTGACCCATCTCTCATTTTTCCATCAAACTATGAGTCACCTGTGTATGCATTCGAGCGTCAGTATGTCTGAATGTACATCCATGAGCCGTGCCATTGCTCTCTTTGTCTTTCTTTCTCTTTACCTTAATTCATTTGTTTTTCAAATTCAACTTTATTTACATGATGCGCATGCACACAATTTGCCAAAGCAAAGATAGAGAGATGTATTGTTGCATTAAAATATTCCTTCAACTGGTCTTTATTCTTTTGTTTTCGAGTTACAGTCAGTGGAGAGAGAGAGAGAGAGCTTTTGTTTATGCCCGACTGCCTCTGCATGTATGTGGCGATCACTAAGTCTGCATGCCACCTTCACTGCCCTCTCTCACTTTGCATCTCTCTCATCTTCTCCCAGGGGAGTCAGATTCTCAGCGGTCTCTCTGCAGAAGACCACAGGACTGCACTACACATGATCAAAAGGGCAATCCTCGCAACTGACCTGACCGTGTACATGGAGTATGTTAAAACATAAAATGTCATAGTACCTGTAGGTCAAGCCTTGTGTCAGACCTGTTTTAACTCACATGATTTGTTTGTTTTTTTCGTGGCTGTGTTTTTAGGAGAAGGAATGAGTTCTTTTCTCTTGCTAAGAAAAGCAGAGTGAGCTGGAAGAATGAGAAACAAAAAGAGCTGTTAAGGTGAGAATGAAATAAATGAATAGCAGGGACATATGATAATGATGTGCAAGGGGGCTGTCTTTTAAGATATTTATTCACCCCCGCAGGTCGATGTTAATGACGGCTAGTGACCTCTCTGCTATCACAAAGCCTTGGCCTGAACAAAAAAGGGTAGGTCTCACAAAATACACTTCACACGTCATCTCTCGCTTCATCACAACCTTAACCTCGCTCTTTTATCCGAAACAGATTGCCAGGCTGGTTGCCATGGAGTTCTTCGCTCAAGGGGACAAAGAGAAAGAGGAGTTCAAAATCAAACCTATTGTAAGTCTTGCTAGCAAAATGCTAAATCATAGATCCTGAATTAATTAAAAACATCAGTGTTATTCATCGCAGCAGTCACATCATTTTTATCACACTTTTCTGTCTGGTCATATCGATCCTAAAATAATTATTTTACCTCAGTGATGCAGCCTCTTTTCATGTTGGGGAGTCCTTCAAGCAGATTTGAATCCCAGTTACATTCTCATTGTTAAATTTATATTACATCACTTAACCACTTCACCCAGTGGATGTCCAACCATGATAACAATAGAGAAGAGATGGAGAAATATGCCCAGCTGTCTTTTTGCTGTTCAAACACATTGACTGGTTTGTATTCCAAAGGGAATGTCTTTTAGGTGATGGTCACGTCACGGTGACATCAGGGCTGATTTTATTTATGTATATTTCTTTCCATATGGCCTTTATACAGACTGCACAAAGGCTTTTCATGGATTGTTATTGCCTCTCAGGTTCCACTTTGAAAACCACAAACATACCATCTTTGACTAGATCAACTACGTTTAGTGAACTTGTTCCATCTTTATGATGTACAACATGGTGCTTTATTTTGTAATATAAAGTCTGATTGATCTTTTCTCTCTATTTTAGCAAATTAACTTAAATGTTCTTTGTTTCTTTTAGGTTTAAAGTAAAAAAAAAAAAGTAAATAGCTATAGTTTTTGTGTGGAACTTGATCTGGCCTCCTCTCAAATAGTACTACTGTTATAACAGCCAGTTTACACTCCCTCCTGCTAGGACATTATGAACAGAGAAAACAGCACCCGCCTGCCATACATGCAAGTTGAATACATCGATGAGATCTGCTATCCACTCTACAAGGTGTGTCACTGCTGCGCACAATATGTGCATGTGAACCATAACAATGTCCTCGCTGCTATTCTATTCTTTTATTCTCCGCTCTAATTGCCGTTTTCTCTGTCTTTGTCTCTGTCACATGTTTTTTCTTCACTATCTCTGTCTCTTGCGCAGGCTGTAACAAGACTGTTTGATACCTGCTCCCCACTGCTGAGTGGCTGTAAGAAGAACAGAGAAAACTGGCTGCGTCTCACTGAGGAAGAAAACAGCGAAGCCAATGAGGAAGAGAGACAGACAGAGGAATAGAGGATCGGACAGAAGATGAAGACACTTAACGTTGGCAGCAAAAAATTATTTTACCTACAAACGGCAGTTTCTCTCTTTCCTCTCTTGGACTCACCTTTACTAAATGTTGAATTTGTGTCTTTGACTATCAAATGTGTTAACGGGATGTACAATAATCTTGACTAATGTAAAAATGCTGCAGTTATGTCCCAGACAACTGGCTAAAAGCATATGCTGCAGCATGTCCTGTATGTAAACAATGTCAGCAGTGTCAAGTCTCACATTTGCCCACTTTTAAAAGATGAAACTGTGAAAGTCTGCAACATGGAGTTGATCATTCTCACACCTCATATGTATGTTTTATGAATGTACAGTATATCTAGATTTGCAAATGCATACTAAGATTTGTAAATGTTTATCCAGATTTGAAAATACTTAAAAGAAAACTTACGTCTCAAGTCCCTTTTGTTTATGTGTTCCCATATATTTATCAAATCAGGATCTAGCATTTTGAGATTTTTTTTTTTACATCCAACATTTGATGCACTGCATTTTTTTGTTTTGTTTTAAAGATCATGCAATACTCAGAGACAGAGACAAACTATGAACCACTGCCACAGGCCCACACTGGTCTGTGACATTGTGCTAATGCAATTAAATGTACACAGTCAGAATTGCTAGGTTAGCCAGAAAATCTGCAAAAGTGTGGACAAGAAATTTTGTGTTATTTTCCTGAAAGTAAAAAGCTATGGGGAAATCTGTTGTTCACCACACATATTACTGTATGTATTTTCAGAACAGTATCCTGTAATGCATTACAGTGTTATCGCAAACCTTATTAGTAGAGCTTTTTGGCCAAGTAGACATATTAATTCTGTTTGTGTGGCTGTTCAGTATTTCAGTATAATCCTACATATACATTATAGCATGTGATGTTTGAGCCACCATGTAGGACCAGTGTTTAAAAAGCCTTATACATTTTTGGATTTTCTGAAAATTAGATACCTACTGCGTGCTGTGAATTTCTTAGCGCACTGCAGCATTTGATGGTTGTTCTGACATGTATTCGTTTTTTGCTTTTTCTTTGCTTTTTTTTCCTTTTTTTTTTTTTTTTTTTTTTTTACAAATCTTTAAATCTTTAAATTGTAACAAATAAATTTGGTCATTGAGCCAGAATGCCAAGAACTTTAGTTAACATTCACGCTTACATTGATTTTCAGCACACACTTTCATCACCATGATCATTTCCAAATATATACTTTATTTCCAGTCCTCATAAACTTACAAAATGCTACAGACTGTCAGCTGCAGTCAGCATCCCCGGCCACAGGGGGGCAGTAGTGTACTTTAACGCGGCGCGGTTGCAGCGGAGTCCGACCTGCAGAAGAAGACGTCGACGAAGAGACAAGAGGAAGAAAAATGACAGGGCGCGCAAAAAGAAAACCCAAATCAATTCAGGTAAAATTACGCTGTTTTCACCACGTTGGTTGGGTCGCAGACATTTCCGTTTCAAACAGTGGTTCACCAGGATAAAAGTTGTGTTGCGTCTGGCAACAGTGGCGATTAAGCGGCTTCTGTTAAACGTTGTGGGCAGAACAGTTTGGCACACGCTGTGTGAGCAGCAGCGGTCAGACGACAACATGGCAGCAGTTCTGCTGACTGATGCCGCAGAGCTGCTCGTGCAGTGACGTTCACAGTTTATATCATAACGTTTGAAAGGTGATTGCATTACACCGCACACTGGGTATGCATTACACAAGTGAGAGGTGCTGAGTCATAACAGTATATCTGTTTTAGCGATGTAAGCTAGCTTTAATTGACCTCTCTGTGGTCTGCTGCAGGGAAGCGTGGGTGCATGGATTTGATTCGTGGTTTGATCCCATAAAGGCCAAAAATCAGTTCCCTTACTGCTAACATAACTTGTGTGAGAGCTCGGTCCCTTCATACTCCTCTGCTGGCTTTAACATACAGAGCACTGAGCATAGCTCTTACTTATAAGGGCCTTATGCAATACAGTTGCCAGTTTATTGATTCAATTCAATAACAACTGTGCAATAAATCCTACCTTTATGGTATTGTTCACTGTTTGTTCAAACTGTTATAGAGAGGCGTTGATTCAACTTATGTAAAAGCTGCAGTTTATGATGCTGCTGATTTTGTGTTATACTGAAAGGTATTTTTCTTATATTTAGATTACCCTCATTGATATGGAGGTGATGATAACATTTTGGAAACAACTGCCAGTCAGTTTATTTCGTTGTCGGTTGTGCTAAAATGCATTAGTTATAGCTTGGTGTACTGTATAGACAGTATAACATACTTGTTTCTCCTACAATACATTTCTTTAGGAGTCAGGTACAGGCAATAGGGATTCGAAGAAAGCCCGTACTGATGAATCCAAAGCCGTGCCATTGTCAAAGGTGGATTTAGAGCAACGGGATGAGATGGTGCAACTGTACAAGCTTCAAATGCCAGAGGACCTGTACCACTTCTGGGATTTCTGCAAGGAGCTTTGTCCTGACAACCCCCGTGGTACGCTGTTCTACACTAACACCATATCTTTTTACAATAACAATGATAGGGCAGAAGGTGCATCTGACATTTAATCAATTCTTCTGTATGTAGACATAGAGAAAACAGGATGGAGCCACTGAGATTAGTGATGCTTAGCCAATGGAAAGTCTGGATGAATGGGCTGGATGCACAAATACACAGTACCAGCCCAACATCTGAGATAACTCTTTACACAAGTCTGTCTGTTTGATGTTGCCTTTATATTTGCTAGTTTAGCATGAAGAAGCAGTTTCATGCTCATCATCACCACCAAACATTTGAGATGCTTGTTGTGATGTTCTGCATTGTTCAGGAAGATGACGGCCCTGAACGTTGTCAACATATGCAGACTGTCTCCTTGTTTTCTTAGACTATTTCCTTGAGCTTTCTTAGGTTTTGCATCCGTTTGTCAGTATGTCTGCATGTCGTATCAATGTATTCTTTTTATGAATGTTAATCTCTATAGGTGCACTGACAGACGCACTGGGTTTGCAGCTGGTTGGTCCCTTTGACATTCTGGCTGGAGCTCACAAAAAGTCAAAGAATCCTCAGCCTAACTTCCATCTTCACTGGAGGTATATTTATGACCCACCAGAGTTTCAGACCATACTTCAGGGGAGTGAGGACAGCCAGCATCACATTGGCTATTACAGGTATAGCACACAATGAAGGTATTCGATCTGTGCTGAGTCAGTATAAGTGCTATTATTCCAATGTTACAGCTTCCATACGACTTAGCCTACTAACAGGTACTGTACCAGCTACAGTGAGAGAACACAGTCTGGCTAGTGAGGGGATGTTGATATGGAAACATGAGTTGTTCTGATTTATTTTTACTGGATTTTATTTTTCCTAAAAATCCACCAGAGATACTCCAGACTCCCTCCCTTCGTTTGTCGGGGAAAATGAAGCCAAGAAGGGCTGCACTATAACACAGATGGGGGACAACTTGTTTGCTGCTGTCCTGTGAGTACTAACCACCACATATTCACCACATAGGATAATATGATATATGATCATCTTCCTTATTGCGTGTGTGCATCTTCACATGTGTGGGAGCAGAGGAGCATTATTGAATTAGATGTTTTTTCCTCATTATCTTCCCCCTTCCATGTGTGTCTTCTTACCTACTGTTGATCTCTTTGTTCCCTCCTCGGTCAGCCTGTGTCTGTTGAGGAAGAGGAAAGAGAGGGGCAGCAAGAAAGCAGGGGGAGAAGCTTCAGAAAGCTTGGAGGCAAAACTGAGAGAGAGGGCTGAGACTCTGGGTTTGTGTCTAGAGCAGAAGACCAAAGGCATGAAGCAGAGGGACAAGAAGGTAGCTTACACAACGGAGAAAACTATTTTATTACCCACATTATATTGATTTTAAAACTCACTTGTAACTCTTCTAATTTTTTACTTCATATGTTGTCCCTAGGACTGCAAATTTAAAGCATTGCAGTGTATCAATTCAATACTGTGTTCAATTGTGTTTGCCATATGATGCAAGTTAGTATGTAGAGGACACCTGCAAGTACACCCCAAGCATTTGAAATAGAGTATATGTTGGTTTCATGTGTATAACCTTATTAGTGTTTTGGACACATTGCCAGCCCCGTCACATCCTCCTATCCTCCATCCTCCTTCCTTCATTTCATTCTCAACCCACTGCGTTGCCATAATGCAATAAAACTAAGCATCCATTAATTTAATCACAACCCTCTTGCAAAATGGAGCTCCAAACCGTAGTAGCATTTGGCAAAAATATGAATAACTTAAATCTAACTGGTGATGGTCGTGTGTTCAAAACAACAATGTGTTTGACTAAATAAGGTGCTTCAAGTTGATACGAGACAATGAGAAACCTCTTGTCACACCACAGGTGGTTACCAAGACGTTCCACGGTGCCGGCATTGTTGTGCCTGTAGACAAAAATGATGTAGGATACAGAGAACTGCCAGAAACGGATGGTGAGCCTACATACATATAGTTTTAAACCTTGGTGATCATCAAGGGGCCCTTGCCGCTTTTGTCTTTGGTGATTCTTCCCTCGATTGTTCTGTTGCTGATGTGAGCTCATGATTTCATTTTGATTTCATTTGAGCAACTTTGTGAATATTTATAATAGTCCACCTTGAATGACAGATTGCATGTTTAAAAATACTATTACAGTTGAAGCTGTTTTTAGTTTTGCTTAAATGGAAATCAAGTCTGTTAATAATCTACATTCACGGTTTTTCTTAGCATTTTTTCGCCTCATTATTCTTATGTACCTAGCTGGTCTCAAAAAGATCTGCAAGGCAATTGCTGAAGCGCAGAATGATGAAGAGCGTGTCAAAGCCTTTGGACCTCTCCAGGAGATGATCACGTTCGTTCAGTTTGCCAACGATGAGTGTGACTATGGCATGGGTTATGAGCTAGGAATAGACCTCTTCTGTTACGGATCTCATGTAAGTCTCAGAACATGAATAATAATCCTTCCATACTCACACTTCATTACACCCAATGTCTCTCAATTAATTTTGAAGTAATGTGACTGGAAGAAATTTATTTATTGTTCTTTGGTTTCCTGCCCCACCCCCCACCCCGCCCCACAGTATTTTCACAAGGTAATCAAGCAACTTCTGCCTATGGCCTACAGCTTGCTGAAGAGAAATTTATTTGGGGAAATTGTGGAGGCCCACCTCTCCAGCCGTAGCCATGATAACCTGGACCAACTCTCTGCACATTAAAAAAAAAAGACTCCGAAGTTCATTTCAGTTCTTGTTCTTATAAGCTTTTCCCACCATGTGGTTTGTCTTCTGTTGTTTGTCATTGTTAATGTTTCTTGGTGGTTTTGGTGCTGCTGTCATTGATTGGAACCAGTTCAATGATATTTTGTTTGTAAAAGGTAGATGTCTAATAAAGTATTTTTATATTTTTACCTGTCCAATTTTTGTATGAAAGGTGGTCTCAATGAATCGTTAAACAAACCTTGCGTCTAGATTATGCAGCAGCTGTTGTGTATACCATCCAGCAGTTTCATTTTTAGATTTGGATCATCAAAGAATGTATTTTGCTGTTGGTTTGGACACTGACAAACCAACAGCAATCTTATAAAAGATTGCTTGTAAGACAGGATTGTGTTTTCGGTGTAATACCTTGCAGTGGCGACAGATGGCGGTGTTTCCCATAAAAAAAAGTATAATGACATGTTTGTGAAAGACATCCCTTCCTTGGCAGTTGAGTCATCGTGTCCCAACATTATAAACTCAGCAGTCATTAGCAGTTATTTACACTGATCGGGTAAACTACATATAGAATAGATCAGATAGATTCAGTTTTTCATTTAACCTGGTAACTTGTGATGGTACTTAAATTGGAATAATTCTTTCCAGAGTCATCCTTACTGGAACCATACCTCCATACTGGAAATAACATAATCAATTATGCTCTCCTCAGGAGCATTGCTGCATTAACCTTTATAGGCCTCCTGGTTCCTATCACATACTGTCGGAACAACACACATTAGATGACATCTTCATTATATGTTGCACAGAGACCCATAAAGCAATCGATTCTTATGTGCTATAATCCTACCTAGCAACAGATTTTGTGTGATTTGTTGAAATACTTCATTTAGGAAAATTCACCATATTTGCACATGTAAACCCAAAATAATAAAGATCTACCATCTATATTTTGAAACAGGCCTCTCTAAGTTACAAGATGGGGGTCACAAGATTACATAATAATGCATTTGATAATTGATAAGGAACCAGCACACAGTGAATCAAGCGCTTTTGGGGCAGTTGCCCACTTTGCCTGGTTGGTAATCCAGGCTTACGCCATACCATTCCCTATACACCTAAAGGGTAAAGTAAAGTTTTTGTACCTATTATCCAGGGTTTAGTTTTTATTTATTTAGTATTTTTATGATCTCACAGATGTCTGCGTTCTACCTGGACAATAATAAAAAGCTTGCCTGGGTTGAAACCAATGTTTAAATCCAATACTTCCATACACTTTCCTTTGAAAAATTTAATTATTTTGGAATGAGCAGCCATGAATCTGGATTTATCTAAGTACAGGGCAAAGGAACACCCACCAAAAATCAATCTCTTTCATAACTGATTATGTTAAATGTGCTTTTTAAATGAAATGATGAATTCAAAACAAATTAACCTTTGCTGCAATTCTGGTTAATCCTCATTCTAATATTCTCATCTTTCACTCTGCCTTTTAAATAAAAGGTAAATTAATATAGTATCTGATCTGGAGCAATATGATCTACTCACTCTGAAAACGAATCTAGATATAAATAATGACAGAATTTTGCCAATTCAACATAATTTCTCATCCTCCTCACCTCCTATACTCGAGTCCTGCTTGGTTTTTAAATGTCTCCAAGACATTGTTATTGATTTTTCCCTGTCAACTCCCATTAAATTTGTAGTTCAGTGAAGAGACCCAGACCAAGGTGAGGGCGTAAGAATACTAAGAGGGAGATTACATTATGTAGGCCCAACCCGGTGTGCATGGGCTGTGATTATTTCTGACTTGTGTAAGCAATTTTACTTTTCTTTCTTTCTTTCTTTCTTTCTTTCTTTCTTTCTTTCTTTCTTTCTTTCTTTCTTTCTTAAATCATCATTTGAAATAATGGACCACACTGTTAACTCTCCCGTCTGAAGCTTCCACTGCTGCAGAGTCACCAAGGGGTGGGGGACAAAAGCAATACATGAGCGCACTACTGGTTGAGGTGCATTCAGGTGCCGATGGTTTGAAATGGTCTAGTCATAATATGTATTCTTATCGGTCTATTCTTTTAAGCCATGTGGAGTACTATTCTGCTTAGCGGTAGAAATTAATGAATTAATTAATGCTGTGGCGGTGTAATTACTATTTAAATGTTTTTTTTAATCAGTTTAAAAACACGGTTAATAGCGGGCATAGTTTTAAAAATTGTAATCTTCTCTTCTTAGACTATCAACCAATCATATCATGGGTTAGGTCACTTTAAATATTGCCCCCTCGCCCCCTACAGGTCGTCTATTTGAAAATGGATTGTTATAAATAAAATAAAAAAAAAACTGTTTTTCAGATTGATCAACCAATCAAGGTGCGCTGACGATGTTCCCAACTGTCCGTGAAGGCAGCATTGGTCCTGCGGAGTTTCGGGAAAGCGCATGAGAGGCGCGTTCACACCCCCACACACATACACGCGCAGGCAACACAGCAACACACCGGGAGCATCCCTTATCCGAGGGAGCGCTCGTTTCGGTTTTGACAATCGGGAAGAATCACAGTATTTGCTTCAGTCACGCCTGATCACAGACTGAATCAGACGCCGCAGAATGATCCGGGGCCCTGCCGAGCCTTTAGGATTCTGAGGCCCCGCACAGATATCCACCTTGCACTGGCAAAAGGACCCTCACTGACTGCGTCGCCCACAGCTGAAGCAAGCAGTCAGTCCGAGACAGAATGGCAAGTAGCCCGGAAGAAAGTCATTCCAGGGGCGGCGGCTCCGACAGTGACTTGAAAATGGCTTCTTCGAGCAACACGTCTCCCGAGGGTGGACCACCACCACCGCTGCACCAGAACCGTATACGGCAGGTGGGTGTCTGTCCGCAGCCCGCTCTCCGCTTTGACTGGCCCAGTCAGCCGTGTAGACCAGCAGCCCAAACCGCTGCTGATGCTGTGCGCTTAGGGAGAGCAGTCAAAGGCGTCGCCGTGCCGAAGCACATCGGCGCTGGTGATCTGACAGGTTTTCGTTGATGTGCATTAAACTGTGTTAAAATTAGCTGCTTATACGAGAAAAGCTCTCTGCGGAGAAGATACCATCTGTTTTGATAAGAGACTTTAGAGTGATGTGCTTTGGGAGGGGTGTCATAATACCCAAATAGGCCAATTGCGCGAGTTGTTATGGCCGTCAAAATAAACACCACCAGGCCTGCACCGACTCCACTAGTTACTATAACAGGCTGCAGTGAAGAATGTTTACAACTTCACACCCAGCACTGTAGGTTTAGCTACTGTTTACATGGACTGTTTCAGGCTTTACTGGCCAAAGGATGAGCATCCCTCACTCTGACCTGTGAAGAGTTTTCCCATTTGCCATTCTATATAAGCATGATATACTGTATTGCAAGTACTTTCTGAGCATTGGGTTCTCTTGAGGCTTAATAGGTGGTATGTGTCATAGTTTGATAGCATTCCATCTGCTTGTTTGTGGTTCTGTTACTGCATAATGCACTGCTGGGTAAAGTGTTCTATAGTGTAGATGTGCCCTGTGCCTGCCTACTAAGTGCTCTCTCAGGCCACTCTTGGGCAGGGCTGGTTTGCCAGTAAGTCTTTCTGCCTTTCAGTCTTTCTTTTGTAAAGTGAAATTCTGATTATTACTATGCAGATCTCTCCTCTCCTCTCCTCTCCTCTCCTCTCCTCTCCTCTCCTCTCCTCTCCTCTCCTACCCTCTCCTTTCCTGTCCTCTCGATGTCTACAAAACAACTTCATCACATATCCTTACCGCTAAGACCAGGGCCTGTTTTATTAAGTTCAATACACTGTTGCAACTACAATAGGAAAAAAATATTCTTCTGCATTCATCTGAAATATTTTCTTGAATGTCTGTTGTAAACAAGAAGAGTATAGAATATAATGTATAAGGTGTTATCATCTAGATTTGATCGTGCAGTGTGTGTGTGTGTGTGTGTGTGTGTGTGTGTGTTTGAGTGTTCAGTGAAAGTGAGTCAGGAGATGGTAGATGGTTGTTTCCTGTCTCAGTGCACTCTCTCAGGCTAATGTGATTTTGGTAATGGACTGTAGTACCACACACACACACACACACACACTCACAGACACACACCTTAGTCTACTCTTTTAGGGTGGGGTCCTTGATCTCACATACTTGGATGCATTCAGGAGTTTTTGTATTATCATAAGTAAAAAATCAAAAATGGCACTTTGTGTGTCCATGATTAAGTATGTAGGTATGTGCCCTATGTAGGCAAAACTGGAAAAGAAGTCACGCTTTGAACTCATCTTTGAGCACAACTGTCTTCTTCAATACTATTTATTTTACAGAGATCTGTGCATGCATGCAGATCTTACAGCATCTCATAAATACTTACCGGTATTTTACATCAGCTGAACTTGGATAAGCATGTCTCTTCAGTTGTGATCTTGTCTTCTGCAGCTTTTGACATGAAAGCCCAGTTGTATTTTTTTCTCTGGTAACTGTTAAATGGTCAGTTTTCCAGATAACCCTACACTCTCAGGAGGTTCATTATTGTACTCAAATGTACACATTTAAAAAATGTACCACAAAAGCCACACGATAGAGTTGGTAGTCAAAGGTGCTCATTAGTGAAGGTAGCACACCAACTGAGGCACCTGGGTGGCACAGGGGAATAATCATTTACCACTGCAGAGAACCATGTTTAGTCCCTATAGCAGCAGCAGAGCCTCCAACTTGGCCCCACTGATCGATCACGATTGGCAGCACTGATGAATGATCAGTCAATGATCCTGCACTAGTGACTCCTCCTGGTTGGTCTGTCTGTCTTTTTTTCTTTTTTTGTCAACAACCTCTCCGCCAAGAGCAGTACTAAGCATCAGTAATGACTAAACTGCTGTTAGAATCAGACATCAGAAGACAAAAATACCAAAATACTGAAAATGAATAAAGGTGGCACACTTTTCAATGTTACCTTATGATTATACTATTGTTTAAAGGTCCAACACACCCACCATGTTGAGGCTGGGTGGGGCCATGCTGGGAATCATGTGAGGTCAAACTCAGTGTACCATGGTTACAATGTACCCACTACCCATAATGGGTACAATGTATCCATAAGAAGAATGAGATAAATAAGAATAGGATAAAGGTTTAAGTTGTTTCTTCTTAATAGATGT